GTTGCTAGGCCTGAACCTTACAAAACATCATCTTCCACTTCTCTGCAGCAGAAGCCTGTGTCAACTTCTGGGACCAAGTTCCAGTCACCACCTAAACCTCAAAGCCAGTATCTACTCCAAGACTTCAGCCGCCAACCAATTCCATGGAGGAAACCTGATATTCCTGGGCCAGTAGTATCAAATCCCATCACCAAGGAGCAGAGGCCAGAGCGTGAAGCCATGAAAAGGCGGGCCCAGAAAGAGCGTGAAATTGCTGCCCAATACACGGCTTTGGGGAAACTGCAGTTTTTTGCTCAGAGGCAAAGAGATATGGAAGTTTCTCAATATTATGGCTATGTAATGTAAGAGCTGCTACGATTGTGGGTACCACATTGAGAACCAGATGTTTTCCCATATATATTTATATATATGAATATATATATACAGACTTATAAAGATATATAGACTTATTGACCTAAATCCATAGCTTTTAGTAGAGTAAAATTAATATATAAACCTTAAACTGAACAATTGAATGTAATGAAATTTAATGTATGACTAATAAAGAAGCCATTTGAGTTTTAAAATATTGCTAAAGTTTGGCTTGTTTTTGGATAGAAGTGGGGATCAAAAGTTGCATTTGAAAGAAGGTGAACTTTGTGTGTGAGAACTAGGTAGGGTAATAAGGAGAAGAATTAGGACAGCAGAACTAACATGGTCCAGTGGTAGGAAAGTCAAAAAGGAGCCATCTTTTCTCTCATATATAGAAGCTAGATTTCGCTTACAAACTCTATGCAAATACATTGGGTGGTATGCAAGTGTATACAAATGTATACACTTAACTGAAATATGGTAGATTCAAGAGAGTTCTCTATAGTTTAATTCCTATCAAAGTTTAGCAAAATAGAACACCAGGAAGTGGGTACTCAAAAGGGGTGGGGTAAGATCAGGCAAAAGGAGTAGATGAACGAAGAGGAGAAGAGGGGGGAAATGCAAGCAAGAATCCAATGTCTATCCTAGAAAATTAAGAAGAGTGAGGAAAACAGTAAGTAAGGATGGTTGGAAGGAGTGACATTGATCAAATTAAAGGTATTATATTCTTAAATTGCTTTGTTAAAAGGCAACCCCTTTGTATAATTATTTTTAAAAAAACCAAAGCAAAAAAAGAGAAATGATTCTTCCTACAGGCTGCGTCATTTTTAACATTCTATTTTATTCCAGTTCTTAATATAAAAGGATTTTTTAATGAAGTATCCTACCTTTTATCATAAATGGGTGTCAAGTAAGAGCTGCTTTTTTTTCCTTTACAATAATTTTCTGGCTAAAACAATGCATAATTACTAAAAGTCACTAACCTCGGTTTTTACCTATGAATTAACAAGACCTTTCAATGAAAAATAATCTCCCCATTTGTAGTTCCGTATTCATCTCTAACAATTCTTTGAATTGTTTGGGGCTGGCGATATAACTCATTGTCAGAGTTCATGCTTAGTATATACAAGGTTCAAGTGTAGCACTGGGTAATATTTTGCTATACTAAAGGCTATAAGCTAGTTTTTGAGAATAAATAGGAAAATTTTCATAATCTTATTAAAATCTTTTTTGATATTTTTCTTCATGGCTATGATATACCTAGCTAAAAGGATTACTTTCTATTATTTGATGTGCAATATTCAGAGAAATATGAATGCATGCAGTAAGAAGATTTCTTTATACTTACTATTCTTCTGACCACTGGACCCTTTGAAACATTTTTGGCTTAGCATTTTTGTTTTTATGCTATATAGCCCAAGCTAGCCACAAATATCTGAACTCAAGTATCCTATACTTCAGCATCCCAAGTGCTGAGTAGCTAAGATTACAGACGTAGCTCCTGGTACCAATCTTAGATGTACACATTTTAATTGAAATATTGGTTTACATAATTACATAATTGTGGCTGTTTAAATGTTCATATTTACTGAGTTTTGCTCTTTTTTACAACTTTTTTACTGAAAGTTTTCTTGTCTGTATGAACTGGCTAGAAATTCATTCAAAAATTAATGTAGTGGGGGTGGGGCTGGGAAGGTGGTTCAGTGGTAGAGCGCTTGCCTTGTATGCATGAGGCCCTGGGTTCGATTCCTCAGCACCACATAAGCAGAAAAAAAGCCAGAAGTGGCGCTGTGGCTCAAGTGGTAGAGTGCTAGACTTGAGCTGAAGAGCTGAGGGACAACACCCAGGCCCAGAGTTCAGGCCCCACGACTGGACCCAAAAAAAAAAATTAATGTAGTAATGTTGTGCCTGTCTAAAATCTCAGCTACTAAGAAGGTTGAGACAGGAGAATTACAGACAATTTCTATAATCTATCTTTACGTGGATTTGCAAATTCACTGCAACTGTCTCTTCTTGTGGTGAACAATGTCACTGCTTTAACAGAAATGTCCTCAATTTCTCTAGAGTCCTGGCTCTGTCACTTCAACATGGCTACTGACATTAATATCTAGCACCTCTTTCTAGACACTCATGGGTAGTACCTATCTTTACCAACATTCTAGCACAACCATGTTGTCATAGTGGCAAGAGTCACATGTGCACATCACCTGTCTCCTACACCTGTATCTTTTAATGGAACACCATAAGAAACAATGAAAATTAGTCATCTTCACTGTGACTGTTTGACCAGGACACAGCAATGTCTCTAATGACTATGGTATCCCAGTATGCTAAACTCCAGATACCCATGCCACAGACCTTCTGTATCCATTGTTTCCAGTTGGCCTGGTTCAGGGAACACTATCTCTGATTCCAATTCAAGTACATAGAGTCTGTCACTTCTCTATTGGAGGAAAAAAGCAGGTCTATTTCTATAATCAAAATACATGGGGGAATGTAGGGCACCTGTGGCTCCTGCCTGTAATACTAGCTACTCAGGAGGCTAAGATCTGAAGATCACCATTTGAAACCAGCCTCTGCAGGAAAATCCCTGAGATTTTCATCTCCAACTAACCACCAGAAAGCTGAAAGTAGTACTGTGGCTCAAAGTGGTAGAGCACTAGCTTTGAGCAAAAAAGATCCAGGACAGTACCCAAACCCCGAGTTAAAACCCCACACCTGACCAAAAAAAAATAAAAAAAATAAAAAACACATGGGGGAGCCTCTGTTATCTGGAGAGCTTAGACTGTGACTCTAATATTATGGCTCTGTATCATATCCAGGGCATAGGGCCTATGCCTCTCAGCCAGAAATAGTGATGGTGCTCACAAAGGTTCAGCCCACAAATGTTCTACTCTCAGTTTCCACTGCTAGAATCTACTATGTGCCTGCTCAACCCATCACAGAAACCAATTTTCAAGATAAGTACAGAAGAAAGAACAGAATCCAGAAGGACAGAAGAATCTGCAGCTGAGTTGTGAGAGTCAACATAAAGGTACAGTTAAATTGTTCAACCACTTTGGAAAGCAGTATGGGGGTTCCGCAAAAGACTTCACATAGAACTCCCCTATGACCCAGCAATCCCACTTTTGGGCATTTACCCAAATGATCACAAACAAGACCACACTAAAGCTACCAGCACAACTATGTTTATTGCAGCATTATTTACCATAGCTAAGATATGGAACCAACCCAGATGCCCCTCAGTAGATGAATGGATCAAGAAAATGTGGTATATATACACAATGGAATTCTATGCCTCCATCAGAAAGAATGACATTGCCCCATTTGTTAGGAAATGGAAAGACTTGGAAAAAATTATATTAAGTGAAGTAAGCCAGGCCCAAAGAAACATAGGTCCCATGGTTTCCCTTATTTGCAATATCTAGTATATGTATGAGTCAAGCAGAAAAGGTCAGATAATGTGATGTCAGGAAAATGAACCGTTAGATGTGTATTTTAATGTTTTTTTCTTTCATGCATGTGTTTCTAACGCATTTATAAGATTATCTCTTTGTTGCTTTATATGTCCCTCCCCCACAGTATAACCCCTGCTTTCACTATATTTGATGTCAGTATAACTTGTGGAGGAGATGGGGAAAAACCAGTTGTTTAAGGATACAGGTGGACCTGTTGCAACAATGAGAAGTACAAGTTGTCATGTCCAAAACGAGCTTTACAACGTCGGTGTGAGGGGGGGGAGGGAGGGGAAGGAGAAGGATTGGGATTGGGGGGAGGGGGGAGGCTAGGAAGGGATGTGAAGGGTAAACAAAGGAGGAGGCTGCAATGCTTGGTAAGAAATGTACGCATTATCCTGCCCATGTAATTGTAACTCCTCTGTACAGTATGTTCACAAATAAAATAAAATTAAATTTTAAAAAAAAGGTACTGTTAAAGTCCTGAGCCTCAGCCACTACCTTTACTTGGTGCTCTTCATCTGCAGGCTTTATATAAAATAGAGAGGGCTGAGGACATGGCTCAAGTGGTAAAGCTCTGATGTGGCAAGCATAAGGTCCCAGGTTTAAACTGCAGTACTGCCATTAGTTAACTAAGGGAAATTGAACACTGTAATGGCCATTTGAAATTCCCTGCCTTTATAAGTTTACCAGATGCATCTTAAGTGAAGATATGATTTATTAATATTCTTATTATAGTTACATAGTTGTGCATAAGAATTGCCATTCAACCAAGCATTATAGAAATACAATGCATCTTGGTCTATGTAACCCCTTGAACATTCTTACTCCTTCCCTCAAACCTTTGCTTTTTCCCTCACATTTCTTTTTTTTTATTTTATTTTATTTGTGAACATACTGTACAGAGGGGTTACAATTACATGGGCAGGATAATGCATACATTTCTTACCAAGCATTGCAGC